GTTTGTCGGTCCGCTGTTCCCTAGACGCATGCCGTGGAACCTGTGTTGTTGCCTAGGCCTGCCGTGGCCAGCAAGGCATTACCACGATAGCCGTACTCCAGCTTCGCGAAGGGCTCTGCGAGGCAAGCGGCGCGCGGGCGCCACGGACGGGCAGCGCGCAGCGGCGCGCAAGCGGCGCGCCCTGGGTGAACCCGCGCCTGGGAACACCCTGGGCACGACATGCTGATGTTCTTGGCATCGCTCGGACGTGTGCATTTTTCCTTCGGCGAGGGCTATCGAGCAGCATCCTTGATCATTTGGCGAGAAAACCACGCACGAAACCGAAAAACACACAGGGAGTGAACGTCCGAGCGATGGCCAGTGTCAGTTTCCTAGAAATGACGGTCGAGAATTTTCGGACAGCGTGTCGTTCCGCCAGCTCCGGCCCACCACGCCCCTGCGCGCGACACGCTGTCCACGTCCAGGCCCCCAGGCGCCGCAGGCGCTGGCGTCCCGAGCTGTTCCTTGGGCCTCCTGCCCCGCGGAGCGGAGCGACGTGCGATCCGTGTCGCAGGGCATGCCGTGTCGCCCGGGCCGCCGCCGCAGCAAGCTGAGCACGAGCTGCCGACGGTAGCTTCGCCATGCGCCCGAATCCCACTGTTCCAGTTTCCCGAAGAGCTCTGCGAGGTGAGCGGCGCGCGGGCGCAGCAGATGCGGCGGCGAGCGGGCGGCGCGCCAGCGGCGCGCCCCAGGTGGGCCTGCGTCTGGGGACATCTTGCGCACAGCATGACGTTGTTTGGAGACTGTTTTTTGGGGCCTAGCGATCACCCGGGTTATTGGCCATGCCCGCCTCCCCCACTCCCTTTGGATAACCTGACCTTGTCGTTTGCGCAGGTCCGAACGGGACGCGCAGTACTGGTGCGCGCGTGCATACGTGTGCAGCCCAAAGCGAAAAGGCAAATTTATCGGCCGCCACCACCCAACACCCACCGGATAACCCAGGTTATGGCCGACAAAAAGCGGTTGTTGATTACGCCTCTGTTAGTTCGTCGAACCTTGGTGCAGTGCGCCGCGGACGCGGCATCTGTGAGAGAGCGCCCGAGGTATCGCAGCGCAGCGCAGATGGCGTCTGTCAGAGAGCGCCCGCGCTGTCGCAGCGCAGCGCAGATTGCGTCTGTCAAAGAGCGCCCGTGGTATCGCAGTGCAGCGCAGATGGCGTGCGTCAAAGAGCGCTAGTGGTGTCGCAGCGCAGCGCTGATGTCGTGTGTCAAAGAGCGCCCGTGGTATCGCAGCGCAGCGCCGCGCACCGCGTTCTGGTGCATGGCAGTGGCGGCGCAGCGCGAGGCAGTCCGACTGAAGGATCGGAAGGTCAGGTCTTGCAGCGTGGTGTGACGTGCAATTCCCCCCCTGAACGGTGCACTGCGAGTCTGGGCTGGTGCAGGTTTCGGTGCCAGAGGGGCGACACCCAGCTGCCCCGAACGGCTTGATCCTGCCATGTCGCGTTGGTCCTTCCCTCGTCGGGTAGGCATGGCCCAGGAGCAGGATGAGGGTAGAGCGATCAAATCAGGCAACACGTTATCATACAAAGGGTTTGTTATTGTTGATGTTGCTGCTGAACTCTCATGTCTTAAAATAAGCATTGTTGATCCCCCCGGTGACCATCTGCATTGTTCAATTAAAGTGCTCCTCCCCGGCTTTGCACCCGGTCTTTTTATCTGTGGTCACCAAACTGGGCCCCTGGCCCCCGGTTTACAACAGCAGCAACAACAGCAAGAACAAACACACGTAGTTTAAGATTGTTCGCTCTTATTTGCTCGAGTGCCGTTCAACACGCATATCCTAAACCCTTGGTGGCCCGCCCTCTTCGTCTTCGATCGTGCTCTCTTGGGGGTATATCTTTCTTACCTGTCACGTGTATTTCGTGCAGCCCCTGAAGCAGGAGAAGAGAAGACGGATGGAAGGAAGGGACAAGGGGCAGGCGGGTTGCTGAAGCGTGCGTTCTGCATGAATCACGAGGAAGTCAATAACGACAGCGCGATTCCCAAATAAATCGTGAGGGAATCCACAGCGAGAGCGTGATTCCTGACTGTCGAGGGTGCGGCGTCTGCATAAATTGCTAGCAAGTCCCACGCGAGAGGGCGATGCCTGTGTACACTGTGAGGAAGCCCCGCGCGAGAACGCGATTTGGGAATACATGGTGAGGAAGTATCATGCAGGGGCCGTTGTTGTTGTTGCTGTAGTTCGGGGTCCAACAAGGTAGTTGGGTGACCCCTCGTTTCCCTGGTAAGAAACAGGGCGCGAGCCCCCCGGGGAAGCATTTCAGCTGAAACATAAAGCAGTTAGCGGGCAGGAAGGACCAACAACGGATATTCTTTAGCAGTGAGAATCCAACAGCAACTGCAACACAAACAACCATCATTTAAGACCGTTCGCCCTTATCTGATCGCGGGCCATTCAACACGTATATCCTGAACCCTCGAGGCCCGCCTTCTTCGTCTTCAATCGTGCCCCCTTGGGGGTATATATCTGTCCTACCTGGAGCGTGTATTTCGTGCAGCCCCCAGGGCAAGGGAAGAGAGGACGGACGGAGGGAAGGGGCAAGGGGGAGGGAGGAGGAAGGAGCATGAGAGAGAGAGAGAGTAGCAGGAGAGGGGGGCTAGGAGGAGAACGCACGTAGCAGAACCAGACGGGCAGATCGGGCGGGCCCCCAGGAGCCCCTCGGGATCCCAAGGGATCCACAGTGGGGGCCTCGGGATTCCCATGGGTTGCTAAAGGGAACGATATCCTACAGGGACGGTGTACGATATTTGTCTGGTCTGTCTGCGGGGCTGGCGATTTCGACGCACGGGCGGTCTCAAACCCACTCTCGCTGCTGCGTGTTCTGCCGTCTGCCGTTTGGTCGCGGAGCCCTTGTGGTAACCGATTTCTAGAAAGGGTGGCTGCATCACAGTTTCCTGGTGCGTTTGCGGGGTTGGCGATTTCGGCACAAGGGTGATCCTACATCCATTCTCGCTGCTGCGTGATCTGCCGTCATTGGTTCGGTCGGTGGGCTTTTAAGGGAACAATTTCCTGAAGAGCCGCCGTATCATAATTTCCGGAAGATTCTGCGGTCAGGGTTGCTTAGTAATGATTGTGTGGTAAGGGTTCTTGCGTCTGGATCCTTCCGTCGGGTTCCCTTAGCATTTGGTGTCCTCACTCAGGATTCTGCGTTAAGGGGTTATTAGTAAGGGTTCTTGGCTGAGGGTTCCTTCGTAAGGAATGTGTATTACAGACTCCTTATTCCGGATTCTGTACTACGGATTCCTTTGGCCAAGGTACTGTACGGAGGGCCCTTGAGTAATTGATCTTCAAGAACGTTCAATTTGCGAGTATACTCTTGAAGGCGGTTCGTTAGTACTGTTTTTTTTGTGACGTTCCACTGGCAAGGGTTATGGAGTAATGAATTCGATGCTGATTTTATATGGCGGGTTCCGGAGTAAGTGTTCTTACCACGGGTTGTTTAGCAGGGCTTCTCTATCACGGATTCTTCAGTAAATATTATGTATCCAGATTTCCGTATTCAAGTTTCTGTGTTAAGTTTACACCAGTAAGGATTGCGTACCTATGTTCCTTTAGTGCGGGTTATCCATTCATGGTTTCTTCTGCAGGGATTCTTCATCAAAGTTCAACTCGCAATTGTTATGTCTTGATTTCCGTTGCGCGTAGATTATTTCGTGAGGTTCCTTCAGTACGGATCATTTAATACGGTTCTCTTGAGTTCCCTTCGTCATGGTGGTTTGCAAAGGTGCCCCCAATAAGGAATATTTTTCCCCGTCTCATTGACTCTTGAGTGCGGTTCCTTCAGTGAGGGTTCGCTATTGAGTTTCCACGAAGATGGACTTATTAGTAGTATGCCTTTGGTAAGGATTCGTTATTCAGGTTCCCTTAGTGCAGGTTGTTTGCCTGGCTTCCTTTTTTAAGTGAAAGCTTACCCAGTACGGTGTCCTGGGTGGTGATTGTTTACCAAGGCCCCCTTTGCATGGGTTCTGTTTTCAGGTTCTCGTAGCAAGGGTTACTGACAAACGGTTCCCTCAGCACGGGTTCTTTCATTTCGATGGCTCCGTTATACAAGGATTACGCATGAAGGTTCTTCACGTAAGTAGTATTAACTCATCTTCCTCAGTAAGGACTATTGACGCAGGTTCCCTTCGAAATAGCTCTTTTTACGAAGGCTCCTTTTTGCCATGATTGTTTGTCTGTGCTTCCTTCGCACGGACTTTTTAGCCTGGTTCCTTTGGGAAGGATATGGATTCAGGTTTCCTTGTAAAGACTCTTTACCAATATTCCCTTGGCACGGATATTTTATTACTTGTCATTTAGTAAGGGGTCTTCGCTAAGATTTCCTGAGTAAGAACTTCTTTACCCAGGTTCTTTTCAGAAGGATTACCGGTTCATGTTTCTTAGAAAGGAATCATTATTCCGGTTTTCATTGTAAGGATGTCTAAAGGCTCCCTCACCGTTGTGCACACATGACTGTAGCACGATCGCGGTGGAGTCTCACGTGCGCCTTTTCGCAGCAATTGTCCAAACGCCCATTGTTGCATCAATTCGGGTTGTATCCAGTCCCTCCTCGTCTCACTCCTCATTCTCCTCCGTTGCAGCCCTTAGATCCTCTCAAAGACTTAGTTTCCTTTTTGCCACTTCTTTATCACGCTCATCCTCCTCCTTTTCCTGCCCTCCCCTTCCCCATGGTCAGTATCGTGTTCATCCTCCTCCTTTTCTCCTTTCTCTTATTTCTCCTCCCCCATATTTCTTTATCTCGCCATAGGGTTTCGCCTCGGCCTTTTCCTGTTCCTCCCTCGTCATCATGCCGAACCATGCCCATCCCACACGTGCATGCCAATTATTCGGTTCGGCGTTGAAGCCCTGCGCACCTGCGTGAATCTCGGACTCGTCGCTGCGTCGACCACGCCCTCTCTGCAGTCAGTCCAACGAGCCGTCAGCGTGCGAGCTACCCGTTGCCGAAGTTTCCGGCGGCCGAGGCTGGCGGCCACAAGATGTTGGCGCCCGAGAACCTCCGGCCAGAGCCCGAGGGTTCCTCGCAGGCGCCGTGGCTTCCTCTTCGCAGCAACAGCGGGCGGCACGAATTTGGAGCAGCAGCCGGGGACAGGAGAGTACGATATCAGAGAGAGCGAGAGACAGATAGAGAGAGAGAGAGAGAGAGAGAGAATGAGAGATGGATGCGTGCATGTATTGATTTGAATATATATATATATAAGAGAGAGAGAGAGAGAGAGAGAGAGAGAGACAGAGACAGAGACAGAGACAGAGACAGAAACAGAGAGAGACAGAGACAGAGGGAGAAAGAGAGGGATGGATGGATCGAAGACGGCTACGGCGAGTCATCGCCATCATTTGCCTAGGCCTATGCGTCTCACCGTTGGGAATCGTTTGAGCAAGCGTTTGGATTGTGTGCTCCCCCAGCCGCCGTAAAAGAACTCTGGGGAACATGGGATGGCTCCCTTTCCTGCAACTCTATATCGGCCCCCGCTTCTTGCCCCCCCCCTCCTCGTTAGTGTCCAGCTGGTCGTCGTGCGGAAAACTTGGCAGCAACAGGACCTGTGGAGCAGCAGCGACAAGCGGCAGCAAGCCGCAGCATGAGCGTCCTCGGGTGCGTCTGTCGTGGTTGACGACTGGGATGGGTGAGAAACGAGGGGGGGTACCAAGTCTGCTGCACGAAGCTGGTTTCGGCTCCACCGTCGCGCACTTCCCTCGATTACACGGCGGCTTCCATCCAGAAAAGCCAGTTGCATGTGACTGATTCGCCCTCCCCCTTTGGTACCCCCCCTTTGCGCCCACTGTAACGCAAGAGCGTCCACAGGAGCTTCTCGAAGGAGGACGGCTGTGCAGATGCATCCCGTTCCTCTCCCCATTTACTTTCCCAGAAGGGAGGAAGACAGTCAGAGGAGGAGGAGGAGGAGGAGGAGGAGGAGGAGGAGGAGGGGGGAGTGAGGAGGAATGAGGTGGTCGTGTATAATTGCTCGGTCCCTAAAAGAGGAGGAGGAGGAGGAGGAGGAGGAGGAGGAGGAGGAGGAGGAGGAGGAGGAGGAGGAGGAGGAGGGAGGAGGAGGAGGAGGAGGAGGGGGGGGGGAGGGAGGTGGAAGGAGGTGGACCTGTATGATTGCTCGATCCCGAGGAGGAGGAGGAGGAGGAGGAGGAGGAGGAGGAGGAGTCCCCGAGAGAGGAGGTTCCCAGTCGGGCTGCTGGCGGCACCTTGCCGCCCGCGGGGGGGCCAACACCGCGGGACCGGGCGCGCCGTCTGGGCGCCGGGACGGCGCGAGGGCGTTGCGGCGTGGCCGTATAGTATGGTCGGGTTCCTGTCGCGTCGCGCACCTCAATCTGCGGCGTGCTGCGGGAGGGTGTGCTGGGGGCGAGCAGGGGCCGGGCCGGACGAAAGGGGGGGATTGGGAAAGGGGGGGGTACGAAATCTGCTGCTTGCAGCTGGTCTCGGCCTCACCGAGGGGCCCATTCCTCGATAAATGGGCGCCTCCCGGCGCCGGGAGGCGCCGGGAAAATCAGCTACGTGAGCTGATTCTCAAACCCCCCCTTTGCTATCCCCCCCTTTCGCCCGACCCGAGAGGGGGGCGGAGGGCGAGGGGGAGAACGTGGGAGGGGGGCGAATCAGGTGAGGGCGGAGGCGGGGGAGGGGTGAGGGGGAGGAGGAGGGGAGGACGGGAAGGAGGAGGGCGAGGACGGGCACGAGGGCGGGGGGAGGAGAAGGAAGAAGGGGGTGAGGAGGTGGTGGAAGTGAAGCGGGAGGGAGGACGCTCAGGAATACTTCGGAGTAGGGAGAGGGCCAGAGTAAGCCTAGCATGCATCAGCGACTGGGGTCACTCCTAGACTTCAGGCTATACTGATTTACCGTAAAGTTCTTCACGCTTCGCGCACCCCCACCAGGCCATCCAGAAATTGTGGCCATGCAAGTTGCATTGGTCAGAGAAGTGTAGGAGTAAGTCGTGAAACAGAGAGGTGGGGCGGCCGTCAAACCGAAGCTTGGGATCAGCCTGAGCAGACCCAGGATAGAACCATAATTGCTTTCTCGGAGCTTATTTGGGCTATCTTTTTGGGGCCCTCTTGGGGCCACTTGAGATGCCTTTTCGGGTCTCTTAGGCTCCTTTGGGGGTCCTCTTGGGGTCCTCCTGGGACCCTTGGACCCTCGGGGGGGGGGCCATATCGGAGGACATCGATCAAAGAAGGGGGGTCACTTATCAGCCTCGCCCCATGTGGATCCCCAAACATTTCCTCTGGTGGCAGTCTTGGGTGCTCTTAGGGCCGTCATGGGCCCTTTTGGGCCTATCTTGTGCCTGTTTTGGGCCATATTGGAGCCTTCTTGCAGCCTCAACTCAAGAGCTCATCGGACACGGAAGGGCGAGAAAACCAAAATCATGTTTGCTTTTCGAGTGTGGGAAGAATGCGTATCGTGGGCATCCTTGGGAGTCCCCGTGGCCATTTGAGGCAATCTTGGAGCGCTCTTGGGGCCTCTTGGAAGCATCCTGGAACCCGTCTGGAACCATCTTGGGGTATCGTGGGTAATCTTGGAGATCATCTTGGATTTTCTTGGGCCGTCTTGGAGTCACGGTGGGCCATCGTGGGCGCTCTAACTGGTCGCGGGGCGTCTGTCAAGGCTCAGGGGTAGGGGGTAGGGGTATGGGTCAGGTTCCCAGCGGGAACGCCGCAAGCTGTCTCGCTCACCCCCCCACGCCCTCCCACTGCATAATAAACAGCACCCGCAGGCTCAGCACAGGCGGGGGCCGCCATCGACAGCCATCGGGAACCGATATAGACGCCAGCCAGGAGCGCACCGCCCGCGAGGTGTGCCCCACGCCCCAGGTTCGTCACGCGTGTCAGACGCGCATGGTGCGCCGGATGCGCCACGTGCTCCACATGCGCCCGGTGAGCCACGCGCATCGCGCGCAGAGTGTGCCGGGTGCGCCAAAGCGCGTCACAGCACACATCGGGCAGCACGTCACCCCCCCTATCATTCGGGTCAAAAGCCAGCGCAACGTGAAGGTGGGATTGCGCGCAGTGTGTCTTGTGCCCGCGATCGTGTCGCATTGGTCTGCGCAGGGACGGTGAGCCTTCGAGCAGCGGGCATGATGATGCACCCCCTCGTCTCCGCAGTCCCTGCCAAAGCAGCATTTGAACTGCAAAGTGTACTTCGAGTTGTTCTTCCTGACAGGGATGGTGGGTGGGCATTGTTCGTGGTCGGTCGCTGGTCGAGGGAGGAATGGTTGTTTGTTATTCAGGAGCGACGGTGAATCCCACCTCGACGGGGGGGGGAATGGGGTTGGAAGGGGAAACGCGCCTGACCACCTCAGCCCTGAAATATGTTCTCCCCGCGGCAGTCGCGTTCGGTCCCGCCCTGGCCCCCTGGCCTCCATCGCACAGGCACGAAGTCGGGTTTCCGCTTCGGCTGCAGCCTTGCGTCTGGCGTGAGCATCGCTTTCAGAGTCAGCTGCTTCAGCTCGAGCTTGAGCTGCAGCTCCGATCACCGGGGCCCATCCTCTGTCCTCCGCCCTCGATCCCTCCGACCATCCCTCCTCCGCACCTCCCCACGCGTAGTCGAGGACGCCCACGGCGCCCTCGAGCCGTCGCCCCGCGGCAGCTGCCGCTCCCCCCGCACGCCCACGAGGCCTATAGCGGCCGAGGCTCCCCGCCTCTGCGCCCTCGAGCAGCAGGCCCCGGGCCAGCTGCAGCCCCGACTTGGCCCGTCGCTGCGCCGATGCTGGCCGGCACCTCCCGCCACCGCCACGGTTATGTCGGGCGTGTTCCCCTTACAGGGGGATTTTCGACGAAAAATTAAAGATGCCCCAAAAGATACCCCCAAAAAAGCCAGAAGGTATCCAAAAAATAGTCCCCAGACTAACTATTCAAAAAATAGTCCCCCGACTATTTGTGGATTATTGTTTGTTTAGTTTTGGTGTATCTTTTATTTTTCGTCGAAAAACCCCCTGTGGGGGAACAGGCCCGACTTGACGCCACGGGGCCCTGGCACAGCCGGGCGGGGGCCCGCCGCCTCCTCGGGCAGGCCCGCCGCGGCGCGCCCGGCACACGCTGCCGCGCTGCAGGTGGACCCTGCGGCAGGCCCAGGCGGGCAGGCCCGTGCGGCCAGGTGCTGGCGCCGATGCTCCTCGGCTCCTCGCTGTCCTGCCCGTGTCTGTCCCTCGCCCTGCCCGCGTGCCTCTGTCGGCCCGCCCCGCTGTCCGCACGGTGCGGGGGCCCGCGCCGCCACGCTGGCGACTAGCCAGGGGGTGCGGTCCTGCTCCTCGCTGGCCACACGGGTTTCCGGTTCCATCTCGACGCGTGAGCAGAGGGCCTTGTTTCGACGACTGCTGGATCGCCAGGTGGTCGGCCGCCGAGCCCACGCCGTCGTGCGGGCACGCGCTGCAAGACGACGGCGCCCCCTGCTGGCCCGGCTCGGGCTCGGGCCACCCGCGGCGGCGACCCGGCACGATCCCTCCCGGGTCACGTTTTGGGGCGGATGCCACCTGCACGGACTCCGAGGCGGGGATTTAGCTATGCTCAGGGGCAGCAGTTCTGCACGAACGAAATGGGCACGGAAAGAATGGGTACAATGCCCAACAGCGGATCTTGTTCATTTTGAACAGGACTCGCTGTCCACGCCGCCGCGGCCTGTGTCCATTCGAGACAGAAGGCCGCCCTCCCAACAGCGGCCGCTGTTGGTTTGGGACAACATTTGTTGTTGGGCATTGTACCCATTCTTTCCGTACCCATGTCGGGCGTCCAAAACAGTGCAGCCAACCCGCGTAGTAGAGATGAGCGGTTGTCCTGTGTTCCCTTGCATCCGTCCCCTTCGGCCCATCCGCGGCCGCTGTCGCTGGCCGCGCCCCGCTCACAACGTGTCGACAAGGCCTTCCAAGGCCCTTGCATCCTTCTCGCGCGTCCCTATCCTACAGGTTGAATGTAGGGGGGGGTTGGCACGGGGGGGGGGATGCATCGACCCCCAATCGCCCATTGATCGCAGAGAAGGGTCTGATAGCCCCCACCCTGCCCGGGAACGTGCGGATTCGATATCGGGGGCCTATCGCCGATTTATCGGCGATGCATCGCCGATTCCAGGTCGATGTTCCCCCCCCCCCCCTGTGCCAGTTCCGGATATGGATATTTTCGGGCCCCCCGGGCCAAAATATATGCATATCCACCGCTGGCTGGGATCCCGGGACGTCGGTTCCCAGGCAGTGGAAAGATGGATACATCCCCGCCCCGTACGGACGTCGGCGCCAGAACTGCCACCCCGCCCTCGTGATCCAGTCGCGCTCGCAGGCGACGGGAGCGCAGCATTCCAGAGCCCATGCCAGCCCGCATCCTGCGCGGGCCTCTGCTGCACCGTGAGACTGGCAGCCCGGCGATGGCCCGTCGAGGGCCTCCGGGTGGTCGCTCGTAGGCCCCCAGGACGCAGCATTAGGTCGGGCCTGTCCCCCTTACAAGGGGATTTTCGACGAAAAGTAAACAATACCCCAAAAATACCAGAAAAAGGTCAAAAATACTCAAAACAATAGTTCCCAGACATTTTTGGATTATTTTTGGATTATTTATTGGGTATATCTTATTTTTCGTCGAAAATCCTCCTGTAGGGGGACAGGCCCGACTTAGACGTAGCATTGATCATCGTGAGCCAGCCGTACCTCGGGTGCACCTCCGCCCTTGCACTGGCCCCCGCCGCAGCCCATCGGCCCTCCTGCTCCGCCACCTGCACCGTGCGGGGGTGGCTGTCCGCGTCCGCGTCACGGTGCCCGTCGTCGAGGCCGCCGTGGGCCGGAGGGGCCCCACACGAGCTCGTCCCCGCGCCCGAGCCATTCGGGTTGTCCCGCGCTGCCCTGGCGTCCCGACTCAACGGGAGCCCGCTGCACCGGGATCGAGCGATGCCGTCAATATGCCCAGGCTCATGGGGCCGCGGTCCCGGCTAGCCGCTTCCATGCCGCCAGCAGAGGCCCCTCCTGTACGTCCAGCGGGTGGCCCAGGTTGGTCGCAAACCGACTCCTCGGCGTCGTAGAGCTTCCCGCGGAGCGCCTCCCAGAACTCCATGTCGTGGACCGCCATGGCGAAGGACTGACCCTCAGGCCACGTCCTCCGCAGACATGGTCTCGGTTGAAAGCAGCACGAACTTCATCGACAGAAGGGCCAGCGTCGCGCCCACCGAAGACCATGCCGTAGAGACCGGACTGCTTGATGCGCGCCGTCTGAATGTCCAGCGACAGCTCCTCGCCGTCCATGAAGTCGTCTCCCGCCTTGGTGTTAGCGGCCGCGTCTCGCCGCCCAGCCTTCGCCGCTGCTGCAGCGCTGGCACGCCTGGCTGCCTCCACCTCAGCCCTGGCGGCGACAGCAGCCGCCTTCGCTGCAGCAGCCGCTGCAGCCTCCCTGCCCTGCCCCTTCCAGGCAGCGGCAGCTCCCAGCACCCGATCACGCACGCCGTGATGCCCCGGCCCGGCCTGCCCACCCTCGGGCCATCTCGGGCCCCGGGGCGCCGCCGTGATGCCCAGGCCGCAGGGCCGACCACGGTACCGCACCCATCGGCAGCATCGCCGGGGGGGCCCGGCACACTCCCCGGGCGTGGGGCTCCCGGATGCCGACCTCGCTGCTGGCGCAGCAGGACGACGGCAGCGTGCGGGATCACGGCGTCGGCCTGCACGGCGGGTGCAAGAGCGCCGTCCAGGCGCCGTGCCTCCCCCCCTCCCAGAGAGTTGGGAGGAGGAGGAGGAGGAGGAGGAGGAGGAGGACGAGGAGGACGAGGAGGACGAGGAGGACGAGGACGAGGAGGAGGACGAGGAGGAGGAGGAGGAGGAGGAGGAGGAGAGGAGAGGAGGAGGGGAGGAGGAGGAGGAGGAGGACGAGGAGGAGGAGGAGGAGGAGGAGGAGGAGGAGGAGGAGGAGGCTGCCGCCTGCTCCGCCTCGGGCTCCCGGGTGCCGACCTCGCACCCCGCGCCGGGGGCGCGAAGGCTCCCGGCCTCGTCGGCCGGCGCCCGGGCCTGCCGCTCCACCTCGGCCAGCTCCGCCTCGGCTTATGTCTCTGGACGCCCGAAATGGGTACTGAAAGAATGGGTACTATGCCCAACAGCGGATCTTGTTCATTTTGAACAAGATCCGCTGTCCACGCCGCCGCGGCCTGTGTCCATTCGAGACAGGAGGCCGCCCGCCCAACAGCGGCCGCTGTTGGTTTGGGACAACATTGGTTGTTGGGCATAGTGCCCATTCTTTCCGTGCCCATTTCGGGCGTCCAAAATGTCGGGCGTGTCCCCCTACAGGGGCACTTTCGACGAAGAGTGCAAAATACCCCAAAAATACACCCAAAAGGTAGAACAACATATTTCAAAAATAGTCCCCAGACTATGTCTGGACTGTGTTTTGATTATTGTTTGGGGTATTGTTTTTATTTTTCGGTCGAAAATCCCCCTGCAGGGGGACCAGCCCGACTTCAGCCTCGGCGGCCGCCAGCCGGGGGCCGAGCTGCGCCTCCACCGCTCTTTGGTGGTCCCCAAACGTGGTGGTGAGAACACCCGGTGGTGAGTTTTGGGCGATTTGGGTAATGGTTTTCGAGCGCTGGCTGGCCCAGGAAACGCAAAACCTCGTGGCGACCGCGTGTCCCCAAACCCGGTGGCGACCCTGAATTATTTCTTTGGGGAATCGGGGTCACCACGGGGTGTCTCACCACCTGGTTTGGAGACCACCAAGCTCTGGCCCTCGGCGCCGCCTGGCGGAGCTCGCTCGCTCTGCTCCGCCTCGGGCTCGGCGTGCCGTCGGGCCGAGGCAGGGCGAGAGCGAGGTCGGCTCGGGGCGGGGCCCCCCGATGTGCTTCGTGTCTGTGGGGTGCTCTGGTGCATCCTTCGGGCCGGACGAAAGGGGGGGGGGATCCCAGAGATCCAACGTATTGAAAGAATCAAGACGGAGGTTTTTCGCTATTTTCGGCCCCCAGGGGCCCTCGCCGGGCCCTGGGACCGTCAAAAGACGGCTCAGGATGAAAAACCAGTCCTGGGGAATGGGTCGAGACTTCCAGGGACCGCGTATTGAAAAAATCACGACATCGGATCTCTGGGATTGGGAAAGGGGGGGGGTACGAAATTTGCTGCATGCAGCTGCTTTCGGCCCCACCGAGGGGCCCATTCCTCGATACATAGCCGCCTCCGGCGCCGGGAGGCGCCGGCAAAATCAGCTAAGCCGATTCTCAACCCCCCCCGGTGCTATCCCCCCCTTTCGCCGACCCGAATCCTGGGGGAGGGTACCCTCGAACGTACTTGTCAGCTTGGCCGGCGGAGTGTCTCACGTTCTTGCAGGGCGTCATTCCGTCCCAGGTCCGACTGTGCTGGTCTCTGGATCCTGGGCCACCCCCAGGTTCTTTCCTGGACGGCCTCTTTCGACGACCCCCACGCCCTAAACTTTCGAAGCGCCTCCTCCTGCATCGCTCCTCAGTCCTCGACCCTCGAGGATCCCCGAGGATCCACAGATCGCGCAACCGTGATCGCGATCAGTCTTCGTGGCCGCGACTGTGGCCTTCGATCGCCGATCAAGGCTTGGGGAAGCGTAAGACTCGAGTTCGCCTGAACTCAGGTTTGCCGACGCCGGCTGCACTTCGCCGTGAAGTCGTCGCCCATGGCACGAGAGGCGTGAGCGCCACCAGCTGCTTGTCCACCTCTGCCAGGCGCCCCCCCCTCCGGCGAGGCGGCGGCCCACCCGCCCTTTCCAAGGGGCCCCCACCTCGGGGCGCGCCGCGGCGCCGACTCCATCGGGCTCTGGGGACGCACCGGTGGCAGTCCCTCGGCACCTCTCGGACGTGCGCGTTCTTCCTCGGCGAGGGCCTTCGAGCAGCATCCTGGATCATCTCGCGAGAAAGAAGCGCACGAAGCCGGAGAGATGCGCACGGAAGGGACGCCCCGGCGATGGCAAGGCTCTCGCTCGAGCTGCCCGAGCCCCTCCGCTCGCCTCGCAGGTGCCACCTCGCGTGGACGGGCAAGCAGGCACTGGACACTGCCGGCAAGCTGAGACGCCCTGGGCAGGCTGCACCACTGTTGCACGAGGAGGAGGAGGAGGAGGAGGAGGAGGAGGAGGAGGAGGAGGAGAAGTCGAGCTTCCTGAGGCCCTGCTCGCCTGGCGCGCTGCAGGTCTCGATGGGCCACGGGGAGCGGGCTCCCTGACCTCGCCGCTGGCCCGAGGCCCCTCGGCCCCCTTGGGGCTTGGGCGATCCCTCCTTGGCTCCTCCCCCCGCCGCGCCTCCGCCTCCAGCGCCCTGGCGCCCGCTGCCAGCGATCCCTCCCTGCGCCAAGCGGCACGGCACCAGGTGCAGCATCTCCACCCGGCCCAAGGCGCGAGACCCATCGCGCTCAGGAGACGCCCGCGGGGGCTCGGGGTCGTCGGGTGCCTCGTGGCCTTGGCCCAGGATGGCTGCGGACTCTCTCTCTCTCTCTCTCGCTCTCCCGCTCCCTCTCCCTCCTCTCCATCCCCTCTCCCGTCCTCTCTCCCTCCGCCCCGCCTGGGGCCGGGGACGAGGCAGAGGCCGAGGAGGAGCAGCAGGGGGAGGCAGCGAGGAGGGGCGGGATCGGAGGCGCAGAGGGCGGCGGCCCCAGCGGCGGCTCGGCCCGGGCGAGGTCGTCGTGGACGACGGCGGGGGGCAGCTGCTCAGGAGCCGCCCCGCGCTGCCCGCCTGCCGGCAAGATTCGTGTCCAGTGTCCACTGCGGCTTGGAGCCCCGGGCTCCCTGCCCCCGAAGCCCGAGGCGCACCGGATGAGAAGGACTGAAGGTCTGCTCCTGGAGGCTCGATGTTAATCCGCATCCAGGGCGCTTCGGCCTCGTGGCGCACCCTCCCAGCAAGGCCAGGCCGCACGGGATAAGGGATAGAAGCCTCGCCCGCCCCGCCGCCGCGGGCGCCTGGACCTGCCTGTGTGTTTGCGCGCGCGAGCGTGTGCGGTCGAGCATCAGAGCTGAAGAGACGGCGGCGCGCGCACGCAGAGACGGCCAAGGGCGCGCCAGGGGCTCCCATCAGAGGCAACGATGCGGGGGAGGGGGAGGGGGAGGAGGGGGAGGAGGGGAGGAGGAGGAGAGAGGAGGAGGAGGAGGAGGAGGAGGAGGAGGAGGAGAGGAGGAGGAGGAGGAGGAGGAGGAGGAGGAGGAGGAGGGAGGAGGAAGGAGGAGGGGGAGGGGAGGAGGAGGAGGAGGGAGGAGGAGGAGGAGGAGGAGGTAGGAGGAGGAGGAGGAGGAGGAGGAGGACGAGGAGGAGGAGGAGGAGGAGGAGGAGGAGGAGCGTGTGCCTGTGTGTTTGCGCGCGAAGAGCTGGGCCAGCACCTCTTGCCCAGCTCGCCGGGGAGCGGGTCCAGCTTCTGGGGGGCACGCTCGCCCCTCCGGCGGGAACCAGCAGGAACACCGGCCCAAGGCGCCCAGGCCTGCTTTGAGAAGCTTCCGGTTATGACAGTAATGTCCCCCTAAGGAGACATTACTGCAGATTTCCCCAAACTGATGAAAAACAGCCTCGGACTACACAAAAAATCTGGTGGTTTAACTGGTCGTCGGGGACATCGCCCCAGGTTGCCGAGCATTTGCTTTGGGTGAAATCTGACATGCCTTTCGATGGATTTTCGAGGCCTGAGTCTGCAAAAGGTGACTCACAAGAGGGACTGGTTCTCGCGGTGCACAGGCCCATCTGGCTTTGACCCTGAGCCCTCCACCCTCAGCAAATGCGCAGAGGTTCCTCACGTCACAGTTCCCTTGATCACATGTTCGGCCGTGTTGCGTCTGCCAGCTGGGACCTGCGATGGCTGGCTGCTCGGCGCTGCCCCGGCCGGCCCGCGCCAGGGCCTTCCCGTCTCCCCTCGCCTCCTCCGCTCCCTGCCTCCCGCTCCACAGCTGCAGCCCGCCTCGCGCGCGATTGGGCTGTCGGCCCCGGTGCCGCGCACTGGCCCTCTTAGGGTGGGCGCGTGCTTTGCGCCTCGTCTGTCCGCTGCTGTCTGGCCCCGTGCGTTTTACTCTTAAAGTCGGGCGCGTCCCTCGAGAGAGGCGTAATCAATTCCAGAGTAGTGAAACCATAGTCTGGGCACGATGTGCCGACTATCCGTCGGGCATTTTTGGGTACCTCTTGGCCATGTTTTATTTGCCTCCCAAAACCCGCCTGTAGTCCCTAAGGGCTTGTCGAAGTTTCGCCAATCGACTTGTGGAGATCGAGCCAGGTAACTCCAGGCAAATGCAGATACATCGAGGTACATCCAGGTACATCCAGGTAAATCGAGATAAAAATCTGGGTAGATCCAGGTAGCTCCAGAGATCTCCAGGGAAAGTTGGAGGAACTCGCGGCCGCTCCAGCGCGAGTCGAAGGACGGCAGAGGTCGTTAAGCATCTAACGATGAAGGAGGACATGCCCCACCTGTAGGATTAACTCGGGCACGTCCCTCTACAGAGGGAATGTTCAAAAATAGTCCAAAAATTGTCTGGGGACGGTTTTTCGACTATCGTCTGACTGTGCTTGAAGATGTGTTGACCATTTTTCGTTTTTCGCCCCAAGATCCGCCTGTAGGGGGACACGCCCGACAGAAGTGTAGGAGGACATGCCCGACCTGATTTCATTCTTCGGTGCCCAGCGATCGCACCACAGGCGTCGTCGTCGAGCCCCACGCCCGCGCTGCGCAGGAAGCGTCATCGGGTGGGGCGACAGGGGGGGCCCCATCCCGGCGGCGCCTCGGGCGCCGCCCACGAAGGTCGGGGCCGCAAATCCATGCACCGACATTCGGCGGCACCCCAACATACTCGTACTCAGTCGGGCTTGTCCCTCCACAGGAGGAGTATCCAAAACTGTCAACCAAATAGTCGGGAGGCGATGTTGCGACTACTGTTTGATCATGTTTGAACATGCTTCGACTACTTTTGATTTTTCCTCCCAAACCCGTCTGTAGGGGGGACATGCCCGACCTAACGCCACTACTTCGTGTGCGTCGCCCCCCCCCCCCCCTCCCTGTCAGGAGGGGGAAAAACACACACAGACACAATGACTCGTCCATTCCCCAGAAAAAAATATGGGAAAATGTGGAAGTGGTGGGGAAGGCGGAAGTCCAGAAACGATAGGAAAATATAGGGATCCTTTTAGTTGTGTGTATTTCTTGGTGTGTCCTGGGGCCCCTCTACCCTGGGGCGACGCGCGCCCCGAGAGCTCTCCTCCGGCACGTGCGCCGTGGCGGGCCGCGCCCGCTCGGGGAGCGACATCTGCGACGAGACGGTCACGCCTTATGTCAGGAGGGGAAGAAACACACAGACACACTGAACCGTCGATTCCCCAGAAAAGATAGGAACATATGGGCAGCGGGGGGAAGACAGAAACCCAGCAAATATGGGAAAATAGGGAGGATATTTTTCTTTGTGTGTATTTATCTGTGCGTCCCAGGGCCCCTTCATTATGTTCGGGTCGGGCGCACGCCTCCGAGGAGGACACACAGCACCAGCGTGTGTCTCTCTCGGGCCGGACGAAAGGGGGGGACCGGGAATCGAAAGGGCAGTTGGAGACTCGGGATGCCTCAGCGCGGGCCTCCGAAGAGGTCTCTGGCTCGGACGCTTCCAGACGCTTGCAATGGGCCGAACAGGTCAACCACTCGTTTGTCCGTCGCGGCGCTGGCAAACGCGCGGCGCGGTCGAATCGGAGCTCACGTGACTCGGGCCGGACGAAAGGGGGGGATCGGGAAAGGGGGGTGCGAAATTTGCTGCATGCAGCCGGTTTCGGCCCCCCCGAGGGGCCCGTTCCTCGATACATGGGCGCCTCCCGGCGCCGGGAGGCGCTGGGAAAATCAGCTATAGGTGAGCTGATTCTCAAGCCCCCCTGTTGCTATCCCCCCCTTTCGCCCGACCCGGGAGGAGGACACACAGTACCAGTGCGTCTCTTGTGCATCCCAGGCATGGTTTTTCCAGCGCTGATCGGACCTTGGAGGAGCCAGTCTCCTTGCGAAAGGCCGCGGAGAACATCGCTGCTCGCGCGCCGCCCCCCCCCCTCCACGGGCCGCCGCGGCCGCAGCTGTCGCCCCCCCTACTACAAGCCTCGTCAAAAATAAACAGAAACGCAGTTGGAAATCACGACGATCGATCTTCTCGGGCACTTGTTAGAAACTGCGTTCTTCAATGCTGCGGAGGGGTCGTCGGATTTTTGAAGCCCTTGCGTCCACGTCAGATATCTAGCGTCAGCATTGGAGTAGCGCTGGCCATACAATCACCGAAAACAGAATCCCTCTGTTTATTTTTGACGAGGGTTGTAGCAGCATGCAAAGCGTTGCTTCCACGGGCCGGTGCAGCGCGCCCCACGCGCGTGGGCGTGCAAGCAGCATATCGGATGTCCCGCGTGCCGCTTCGGCCGACCACGTCGGCGCACGGTAAAACAGGACCAGGATCGGGATAAATCGCTCCAGAGCGTTCCGGAGCGCTCTCAGAGCCTTCCAGAACGCTCTGGAGCGGCCGCGGCGTCCAACACATCCTCCAAACCCGCGGCTTCTCAGAGGTTTCGAGTTATCCCGATCCGATTCTGTCCCGATCCTCGCGTCGTTTTGCACGGGCCTCCGCCTCCTTGCCAATAGGGCGAAGCCATGCACCGACGCGGCTGGGGGGCTTGCTGTGTGGGCAGGGCGCCGGGGCTGTCCGGGCCGCCCGGCGGGCTGCCTGGCCCCACCCCTAAAACGACGCGAGGATCGGGACAAACTCGGATCTCCTCCTCCTCCTCCTCCTCCTACTCCTC